GCACTCCTAGTTTTTTCCAAAATGACCTACTTTCTCTTACCCAAACTCACCTCTCACCAACCTCTCTTTCCACAGGCTGCCCCTAATGCCTAAAGTGCATTTTATCTCCTAGGTTCTTCCTAGAATGTTTAGCTCCTTTCATGGCTCAACTTGAGTCGGGATTTCTTAGGAAAAGTCTTTTCAGACCTGCCTGGTCGATGCTCCACTTCTTCTTCCTCACATTGTCTCATATGTGTTTGCTATATACATGTTATAATACGTATCCCACCTCCCCTAACCCCTAACCACCATTTAACCTTGAATTGAAATATTTATTTAGAGCAGTTGCTATTTTTCATTTTGTCTTTGTCATCAGTGCCTTGCACATAGTAGATGCTTAACAAATTCTTGTTGAATTGTTGCAATAAGTTGAATGTTTGTTAGAGTGAGTGGGCAGTATCATAAGACACCAGATGGCTCCCACCACTCAAAATTTGGTGTAAGTTATTTGACTTCAAAGATTTCCTTTTTATAAAAATTTTTTGAACATTAATAAATATTTTTAAAATGTCCTGTTATTTCCTTGAACATGCCTCTGTGTTTTTGAGTTTTATTTTTTAATTACTTTTCATTGTTTATTCTTTAACTATTCAATTTAATTAATTATTTAACTGTTCTATTACTCTAATTAGTTATGTTTATCATTCACTTGATACTATAAGTGATACAAAGTATCTAGAACCATGTTTCTTATATTTGTGATTTATCTTTCCAGTTCCATTATATGTACTTGATTTTTTAAAAACAAAAAGTCATAGAGAAAGAATTAGAGGTTTCTGTCCAATATCACTGATTTGGACTTCTTATAGTCATTGGGCCATAAGCTACTTGAGAGGCCTTTCTTTGCATCACCAGTGCTTAGCACAATGCCTTGCCTTGCACAAGGTAAGTGTTTATTAAGTGCTTGTTGACTGTCACCTGTAGACATGAGCTTTAATTTATCCAATTGCTATATTTTAAGGTATTTTTAACCAAAGAAATGAGTCAAATTGGTATTGGCAGATCAGCATCAAACAGGCAGCTCTCCAACCCAAATCAGAATAATTGTTTTAACCTAAACACACTGAGGCCAGATTCACATAGTTGGGAAGCATTATTCTCTACCTCCTGCACACCTGGCCTAACCCCAGCGTTTAATCCCTTCGTCTGAATAGAACCAAGGGACAAGAGCAAACAAGACCAAAGAATCATGAAACCAATCTAATGAGAAAAGCACATGAAAAGCAGTAATGTATCATTTACTAGCGTCTTTTAGGTTGATCTCCAATACACAACCAAAAACCAGAACATAAAGGTGTGTGTGTGTGTGTGTGTGTGTGTGTGTGTATGTATATAGGTATCTACAAAGCCACAGACTATACAGACACAGAAGTTCACGCACTTTACTCAGGAGAGTCACTCAGGCCTTCACTCAGAGCCTTTATTCTCTTAGGCACAGAGCAGATTAGGATCGTTGAATGGGAAAAGGGAGTACAACTAAAGTCAGCAAGAAGGTTTTGCCAATAGACAAACCTAATAGCAAAGAAAGTATTCAAATATTTATAAAATCAGATATAAGAAAGTTTTAAAAATATTTTGCAGTCAACTCATCTATATCGTAAGAGAAAAGAGACATCATACAATACAATCATTTGTACAATAATGAATAAGCTTTCTTATCAAGAAAAAAAGGTATTTTTTTCTATTAGGTTCTCTTTACAAAAATAGGAAAATTCATACTGTATTTTATAAATATTTCAATCCAAAATTATTAAAATTTGAAAAATAAACTATGAAATTTGAAAGAATCAGCTTTAGTTATATAGAAACTTTGTTTATTTGGACTAGCTCATTTCCTATGGGTGCAGATAAATGAGGTGTTACCATATGTCTCTGTCATGGATAGAAGATTAGAAGACCAAGGCTAATTTCTCTCTCAGTGCAGATGAATCTAGCTCAATTACTCCTCTATGTTACTGTATCTTGGCCTAGTAGATAGAGGGTTAGAAAGACCTAAGTTCCAACCTTACCTCTGACTTACATTGGTTGTGTGAGGATTGGCAAGGAACTGAACATCTCAGTGTGCCCATGTAGGTAACATCTAAAATTATAGATTACATGTAGGAGGTTGATCTTCATCAAGAAAAAGAGTTTATACATGTGCAGTTCCCTACACAGATAGGTTCAGATGCCATTCTCACCACCCCCATACACACACACACACACACAAACACACACAAATAAAGCATGT